TCTTATACTTGTTTTATCAAATTTAAGAAGATCTTTATGACTTCGGCAAATAATCGAGTTTCGTTCTGAAGTTTCGCAGAGATTTTCTAACCGCATAATTGCGACGAGAGATGCCGTATATTCCTCGAGATTATTTCCCAGACGGTTGGATCAGTCTTTAGTGCTTAGACGATTTTTAGATTGTCGTTTGCTTTTGAGATGATTTCGACGAGGCGTTGCATCGTCCGAATATTTTTCCGCCTATTTTAGAAAGCGTTTTCTTGATGCGAGGAAAAATGTTCGGAGAAAGAAGAAAGACGAGTTTCGTTCGAAGGATTGGGATGATCGACAATCCGGGTCGATTAAAGACCATGGTGGATCGGAGATGACTTTGAGTATGTCTGATTTATGAGAACTTCTAGGAGCGAGTCGGTTTTAAGACGACGTCAGCGTATCTAGCTCTTTCTTTCTTTTAGGAAATGAGTACGTTTGAATGCGTGTCGATCGTTTCTCGGTTGTACGAGAGATTGGATCAGTTTGCGAGTTATGCCTGAATGGTTAGAGAACAACAAATCGAGATAGACAAGAATTGCTTACGACTTAGCATGCTAGACTATCTTCTAAATTCTACGTTCTCTAGGTTTCTTAGCAGTTTACAAGACTTTTTCGTTTCTTACCTACGAGAAATTAGAAGTCTAATAAAATTCTTAAATCGGACATACCTTAGCTTCATCGATGATTTGGGGTCGTCTATTCTACGTTCTTCATCTTTTGACCTACCGGTCTTCGACGAATTACCAGCGAGAGTATCGGAGCGGGGAGAAGGCTTAACCATCGGAGCTCACGTTCTTGTTTCTTCGTACTGCTGGTTTTATTTGACCGACTAGGTGCGCTTCATATATCGAAAAAATCAATCACGTGTTTATGATTGGATGTTTTCGACTAAGCGTGGCAGAGTTTCGTAAAATCGGATTAGGTTTAGAGAGTTCAGATTTCTCGTATAGTTTAGGCAACTTTGGTGTTAAGTCAACCGTTGCCGTTTTAGATGATTGATTCGAACTTATACGAAGAAACAAGTCTTTGCGGTTTTATCGTAAAATCCCGATGGAGATTCCGGTTCAGACGAAACGATAATCCGCGCGGTCAAGACTTCGAGAGAACTCGAGGATTGGTTCAGCTCGATGTAAGGCAAGTCGGGTGAACCCTTTCAGCTTGTCGTGTGGCGATCTGGATTGTAAGAACCCTTGGGGCGAAGTCAGCGTCTCTCGGGAAAGCTAGGCGCTTGGTTCAGTTTGCCGTATGGCGAGCTAGCTAGCTCTACGTTCGGTGAGATAGGACGCTTGGCGCGGGTGATCTCGATTCGTTGAGTTGACTTGTTTTCGTCGTAGAATCTCAACGGAAAGTCCGATTGAGACGAAACGAAAAGCGTCTCAATCAAGATTCGAGATGGAGATGTTTCGATCCATCGAGCTTGTCCAACTTGCCTAATGGTGAGTCGGCGAGCACAGTCCCGATTCATCAAGCTATCTTGTTTTCGTGGTAAAANGACTTGTTTTCGTCGTAGAATCTCAACGGAAAGTCCGATTGAGACGAAACGAAAAGCGTCTCAATCAAGATTCGAGATGGAGATGTTTCGATCCATCGAGCTTGTCCAACTTGCCTAATGGTGAGTCGGCGAGCACAGTCCCGATTCATCAAGCTATCTTGTTTTCGTGGTAAAACCTCAACGAAAACTTTGATTGAGATGAAACGAAAAGCAGTGCGATTATTGTTTAGAGTACGGTCCGTCTCACCATAACTATGAGTTGGATTGTGCGGACCCTCGGGAAAAAGTCAGTGCGTCTGGGATGAGGTGGAAAGCCGGTCAGCTCGCCAAGATGGCAAGCTAGGTTGCTTGGCCAACTCACCTTCTTTTCGGCTGGATAGTATTGCCCGATTCTGTGAGTAGCCTAAGGTTCTTCCGCGAACAACCTAGGGTTTTGTCACGAATAACCTAGGGTTTTTACGCGAGTGACCTAGGGCTTTCTCCGCGAGTAAAGCTAGTGTTTTGCCGCGGATAACCTACGGTTTTTCCGCGAGTTACCTAATGATTTTTTCGCGAATAGCCGCGAGTATCCTAGGGTTTATTTCGCGAGTAACTTACGGTTTATTCCGCGAAAAACCTAGGGTGCTTTCCGTGTGTAACCTACGGTTTTTCCGCGAACAACCTAGGATTTTGTCGCGAATAACCTAGGGTTTTTCCGCGAACAAACTAGGGTTTTGCCGTGAATAACCTAGAGTTTTTCCTCGAACAAACTACGGTTTTGCCGTGAATAACCTAAATTTTTTCCGCAAGTAACCTATGTTTTTCTCACGAGTAACCTACGGTTTCTTCCGCGGTTTCTGGGAGGGCAAGTTTATTTTTCCGAAAAGTTCTCGGAAAACGTCTTTTGCTCAACCCGTGAGATATGTCAAACTCGGAAATAAGAAAAACACTATGGGGTTTGATAGATTTTATCGTTGCCCTTAGTGATCTGAGATAGAAATCGTGAGCTCGTTTTGTTGCTCTTCCCGTGGCGAAGAGTCGCGATTAGGTTTTCGATTTTGTCGAGTACTACTGCGTTTGCGTGAGCGTTGGCTGTACGAGTAGTCGCTGCTGGAGTTGTTTTACCGGCGTCTTTTTGCGAGTTGCGACTTTGTCTTTCATACATCCAGACATCGTTTTAGTCAAGCGTTTTGCGGCTATGAGTAAGAGTAATCCGACCCCCCCCCCTCCTTCTAGCGCCAAACTGTGGGAACCGAAATTCACACTTGTCGATTTCCGTTAAATAAGGAAACTTAGGAAAACCCTAATTTTCCAGAGGAACCGGATCTCTGCGAAAGCCAACGACAAGTAACCAAATAAATGCGGAAAAATATGAAAAA